GGCCCGGAAGTAGTCACTGCGGCCACGGAAGAAGGCCTGAGAGAGGCCAGGCTCAGGAAGTGCAAGGGCTAGGGTCTCTCTCCTGAGGAGCTAGACCCGGGCTCAGGCCAGCGGGCTGGGGCCAGGGGTGACAGGAGGGCACAGGCACCTTGTGGCAGAAGAAGCTGCAGCCGGCCACTCGGAAGCAGACGTCAGGGCAGCTGTTGAAGCCATCGGGACAAGGGAAGGGCAGCTCCCCAAGATCACCCTGGGGTACAGAAGAGGCGACCCCATCAGAGCAGTTGTTCACAGAAGTGAACGACTAGGTTCAGAAAGGGAAGTAACCGGTCCAAGGCCACACAAGGAATTGGGCCCAAGTATCTGGGCTGCCTGTCACAGCCTGCCAACCCAAAACACCCCTCCTGCCCACCAGTCCCACATTTACTCGGAGCTCAGCGGGCAGGGCACAGTCGGCCAGCAGCGCCATGTCCTCCCGGAGCCGGGGATCTGCAGGGGGCGACTCGATGGTCAGCACCTTCACACACGTGCCTGGCTTAGACGCCACTAAAGGAGGAGAACAGCTTCAGGGAGCCAGGCCGGCCCTGCCAGGCCCCACCCATAGCCCTGGACCCCAAACCTTGCTCTCACCAAACTCAGACACCTTCTCGCACTTGGCTTCCAGGTCGCTAAGCAGGTCCCACAGCTGGCACTGCTTGGCCAGGCGCTCACAGTCACTCACGTGCTCTACACCAATGTCCAGACGGCCTGGGGCAGTGGGGAAGATGAGGGCCTGCAGGATCTCAGCTGTCATTAGGCCCACAGAAAAAGGTAGATTCCCCTCCCACCTGGCCACCTGTCTGCCAGGGCAGGACTCCTGGGCCCACTTGCCACCTTGGTTTCTCCATCGAGAGCTGTTGCCTGAGTTGTATAGGCCCCAAGGAACAGATGGGAGGGGCTCAGCATATTGTGGGACAAGCTCTTCCTGAGCAGGCACACCAGTTCTCTCTCTTGCAACCCAACCCAGGAGGCAGCTGGAACCAGCCCCGGGGACCATGAAGTGTCTAGAAGTGAAAGGTCAGCCCAGCCACACCTAGGCATACTGCTGTCCCACTCCCTCTCCTCCTACCCTGGGCTCAGGGTGTCACCTGTGTACAGGTACTGCAGCAGGGCCCCAAAGGCCACGGGGTTGATCTGTGGGCAGAGAGCCAGAAAGGAATGTCAGAGGCAGCCATCCAGCACAACCCTCTGCTGTTCCTGGGGAGTCCATGCCCCTCTGCCACCCTGAAGGGACATACCAGTGGGTGCCTGAGAACCACAACACTCTTGCCCTTCCATTTGGTGTCCAGCATGTTGGCAAAGTAAGCACTGCGGGCACCCAGGACACAGCGATGCGCCCGGAATGGCTTCCCGTGTACTACAAAGACCACGTCACTGTGGATGCCCTGCTCTAGAAGCCTGGGGAGGGAAGAGCAGGGATCCTCAGCACAGCCCCTACCTCATTCCTCGTAGTACCTGCAGCACTGTGCAGGCCACAGCCAGAGCAGACCCACCACCCCTACCAGGGCCACTGCGCCCCATGCCGCATCCCTCGAATGCTCTGGCTCACCGCTGCAAGAAGTCATCATAGTAATCCCGCCGCCTGCAGGAAGCTGTGACCTGCTTGTAATCTCGTAGAGTCCGGCGGATGGGGTCACTCAGTGCCCCATAAAGGCAGCGCTCACCATCAAAGGTGTTGGCCTCACAGCGGGCCCCTGGGGGAGGCAAGGCTCACAAGTTAGCAGGGGAGGGGCCTGGGAGAAAATCTTTTTTTTTTTTTTTGAGACAGAATCTCACTCTGTTGCCCAGCTGGAGTAGAGGCAGGGTTTCACTATGTTGGCCAGGATGGTTCCATCTCTTGACCTCATGATCCACCCGCCTTGGCCTCCCAAAGCACTGGGATTACAGGCGTGAGCCACCACACCCAGCAGGAAATTCTAATCTCCCTGTCCTTCCTCCCCACCTTCCCACAAATAGGGCTCCAAATCTCTGGTGATGCCTTCCCAAATTACCTTGGGCCCATTCTGACCTCAGCCTCCTCCCAGTCAAGGGCTAGGCAAACAGACACATCTGCACTCACACAGGCACATACTCACACGGATGACCAGACTATACAAAACTGAGAGCAGACTCAGTGCCTGGGCCTGTCCCACACACTGGAGCACAGCAGTGAATCAGACGGTCCCTGTCCTGCTGAACTTTATCTACTGGGGTGGGACAATGAACGCACTACCTAATGATGGCAGGGACTATTAAGAAAAACATGGCTGGGCGTGGTGGCTCACACCTGTAATCCGGGCATTTAGTGAGACCCTGTCTCCATAAAAAAATACAAAAACAAGCCAGTAATCCCAGCTATTTGAAGATTTGAAGAGGCTGAGGCAGGAGGATCACTTGAGCCTGGGAGGTTAAGCCTGCAGTGAGCCAAGATTGCAACACTGCACTCCAGCCTGGGTGACAGACCAAGACTGTCTCCAAAAAAACAAGAGAGAAAGAAAGCAAACCAAAATAGGGTGAATGGTGGCAATGGATGAAGGGAGGTCATGAAAGCTCACTCTGTGATGGTGGCGGTATGCAGAAGCCTGAATGAAGAAGGGGAGAGGGCCATGGGAACATCTGTGCAAGGGCAGTCCATGCCGGAGGAAATGCAGGTGCGAAGGCCATGGGGCAGGAATAGGCGCATTCATGGCACAGTGGAGCCCCAGCGAGGCCAGTGTGACAGTGAACAAGTAGGGAGAGGAGCAACGCCAGCAGGGAGGGCAGACCCTGTGGAGCCTTGGGTGTGGCCAGGCAGGCTCACTGTACCGCAGAGGTGGTGGGAACTCACGGGAGGATTTTTAGCTGATCAGATTCATTGTGAAAAGATCAACTTGGCTGCAATATGGAGAACAGAGTGTAGGTGGGGCAAGAGGGGAGGCTGGCACTGTGTCTGGGGAGAGATGCTGATGGCTGGGCCCAGGTGGTATAAGTAGAGATGGGGAGGGTAGACAAAGAACAGGTTTTAAAGTAGTGCTAATAGTACTTGCTGATTTGACTGGTGGTAAAAGAGGAAGTGGGGTGGTTTGCAAATATGTATGAAGTCCATTGAATGCAAGCAAGTATGAACACATGCACCCTCACACACACACCCCTGAGCCAGCTCCCTACTCTCACCGTTGGCCAGAAGGTAGAGTACCAGCTCCTCGTGCCCACACAAGCAGGCATAGTACCTGAAGGAAGGAAGTACAGGAGGCAGTCCTCAGCACTGAAGGGGTGCACCACCCCCCACCCCCCACCTCTCTCCCCAGCACTCACAAGGGGGTGCTGTCCCACTTGTCCCGCACATTCACCTCCACATCTCGCTGCTCCAGCAGGTACCTGGGCAGGAAAGAGGTCAGAGCCTGGGTCAGGATGGGTTCATGGTCTGAGAAAGAAGGCCCATGGCAAGGAATGGAAGGAAAACATCCCTTTTGGTCTGGAGAAGCTTCCTCAAGGTGAGGGCAGGTGACAGGCAGACCAGAGCAGGAGAGGCACTCCAGGCAAAGTGCAGGTAAGGATGTGGAGGTGGGATTGGACAGGCAGATACTGTGTGCCATCAGTGCTGGGAGAAGATGGGCTACAAGGGCAGAGGCCAGCGCCAGTGCTGAAGCTGGACCTTTGGCCTTTCAGTGTTTGGGAGAGAGAGGTGATGGGGCCTTTGCCTCGGCCAGAGCCCTTTACTGCAGAAAGAAGCTGGCTCTGCTAGAAGCAGGGACCCTGGGGGAAAAGCTGCTGCAGGCCTCCTGGTGGCTTGGAGGGCACGGATTCAAGAAGGTAGAAGTCGCGGGATGCAGCAGCCGATGGGATGCCGAAGGTGAGGGAGGAAAGTTGCCAATGCTAGCATAGCCCCACAGAGGCTAGGGCAGTCCGAGGGAGTCCCCCAGGCTACACCTGAGAGTGCTGTGAGCCCACTCAGCGCTGACGTTATGCACTAACTCTTGAGCGGCACCTGATGTCGGGGAGGGGCCCAAGGGAGGCTACAGAAGTACAGCAGCCCCAGGCCAGCCCAGGGGAAGTGGAAGTAGTCAGTCAGGACCAGGTCAAGGGGAAGGAAAGGCCACGGAAAAAGGAAGTCAAACAGGGGATAGTGGAAGGCCAAGGAGGGGAAGGGCCCCAGGACCAAACTGGGCACCCCTTCCCTCCGCGTCCAGCCCAAGGAGGCAGCGATCTCAGCACCAGATTCACTTTAGCTGCGTCAAGAGTTTCTGTATCCTCGGGGACTGGAGGCCGATTCTGGACTCTAGGTGTTCCCCGCGCCAGGTCCAGTGAGGATGAGAGCACGGGGCCACGTCTCGAGTCCCAGGCCTACACCCGCGCTCCGGGCCCATGGGTCTGACGGCCTGGCCCTACCGAGGCGAACGGTGACCCGCCTTTCTCTCCGCCCACTTTTTCACCTTCGGGCCTCCGCGGAGCAGTCTGGTCTTCCAGGAAACCCTCCGGGGGTCAATGGCCGTCAGCGTCCACGCCCGAGCGTGCTCCCGCTGGGGGGCTGCAGCGAGGCCCGGGTGATCCTCCCGGCGCTTCAGCACGCTACGGGGGCTGGGCCAGGCCGTGGCGCCCGTCTATCTCTGCGGCCATCCAGCCGCACGTCCCAGAGCCCGAGGAGCTCCACCTCCCGCACCCTCCCTGGGACTGCGGGGTCCTCACCGCACTCGGCCCACATCCCCCTTCCTGCAGCTGGCGAACAGGTCGCTGGTGTCCATGGCGTGGAAGCTCGTACCCGGGCCGAAAGACCTCGAGCGGCGACGCGGCGCACCCGGCGGATGTAAACACGCTCAACTCCGCCCCGCCCCTCTCCGTTGCGGCGCCCGAAGGACCCGCCCGCTCCAGCCTCCCCGCCCCGCCCCGCGGCCCCGCCCCTGCCCTGGGGTTCCTGGTCCCGCCGCGGCCGCCCGGCTCCGCCCCTGCACCGGGTTCCCCCGCCCGCCCCGTCCCAACCCCGGAAATAAGAACGAGACTGGCAGGCAGACGAGCTGGATCAAGTGTGGTCTCCGGGCGGATTTAATAAAGTCCCGGGGCGCAGGGAGCGCTGCCCGCCGCCCGCGGAGCCCGGGGTTCAGGGGCGGGAAAGCAGGGCCAAGGCGGGCCCTGAGGCCGGCCCCTGGGCGGGAGTGAGGGAGCCGGACCGAGGCCGCCGTGGGAAGCGGGGGGGAGCCCGCTCTGAGGGCCAGGCTGCGGGCGCGGCCCGGGGAGGCGCGGGCTCCGGGCCGACCGTTTCGGGGTCCGCCCTGCTCGGTCCTGGCGGCCCACTCGGCCTGCGCCTTGGCGGCGCTCACAGGTGGGTGTCCTCCTCGAACACGTCCGAGTCCTCGGGGTCCCGCTTGCCCCCCATGAGCGCTCCCCAGCTTCCTGGGCCGTTGAGGGCCCCGCCGCCATTCAGGCTAGGGTGCTTCTCCGGCATCTCCGACTGGCTGTCGCTGGCCACGTCCAGCGTGGGGTTGTCGTGGCAGCCGTTCTCTACAAAGCGCAGCTCCTCGCCGTGCGACTGCGGCGGGGTGGGGAAAGGCCGTGGGCGAGCGAGCCGGCCCCCGACATCGACAGGCCTTGCAACCCTACCCAGGGGGTCCCCGAGGCACCCTACACAGGTGCCAGATCCTTCTTTTCTGTTGCTGTAGCTCCTTTCTCAAAATAACTAATCGTGGGCATTATAAAGCCCTGTGGCTTCCCTGACGTCATTGATCCCCCAACAGTCCCCTAAGGACACTCCACTTGTGAGGTCAGGGAACATCACCAGGGCTCTTCCCGCTTCCTCCTGGGGAGGCCGCTAGGCTCTCCTTGACCCTTGGGCACCACCAACCTAGGGCCTGTCTCTGGTGAGGGTTCCAGGTGCTTAGGCCCCGCAGTGCCTGCCATAGGGAGGGGCTGGTGGTGCCAGAAAGGGGCCCCTTGGTGGGGTCAGCAGCCCCCTCAGTCCCTATACCTCCAGTACCTGTCCTGGGGCTGGTGCCCTACAGAGCAGGTCACCCATAGGACCCTGTGCGCCCGAGAGTCACTGCCTCCCCTTGCAGATGATGATACCTGTCTATCCATGGGCACTCTCCTTTCCACTGGCCCCCAATGGAACCACAGGATTTGGGCAGCCCAATGCCCCACCTGTCCCCACACTCACCACGTGCTTGAGCTTGGGTAGCCGGCGCTGCCAACAATTGTAGAGCAAGCCGAGCGCAATGATGATGATGCAGATGGCCCCAATGACCACCAGCACCACGAAGAGCGTGCCGTAGTCGCTGCGCACCTGGCTGGCCCGCGCCTGGCAGCTGCTGGTTGTGGAGTAGTTCTGGATGCCAATCTGGGGATAGGAGGGGCCAGGTTCCTCAGCTGAGGTCCTGGGGTGCCATGGCTCCTCTGGGGTGGTTGTGTTGGGCTCAGGGGCAGGGATGGGGGAGCAGGCTTAGAAGGTGCTGATGCTCTTGGCTCCTGAAGTTCCCTGGGGCCTGGGCTTGCCTCTACCCCATCCCCATCCTGTTCACCTCAGCACAGCTGCAGGCCTCTCCACCCCATGCCCACGTTCCCAGCCTCCTTCACGTCCCACCATAGCTTCTGCCTCGACCACTGAGTCTGAGTTCACTGTGGCCTTAGCCCCCCAGTGAGAGTGGACACATGCTGCTGGACACCATCCAACTAGAGAAAGCCCCCACACCTATCCCTACCAGTTAGAGAGACGAGGTGTGAGCCCCCCCCCACACATCCTCCACCATGCAACTGCTTCCACCTCAGTGGGGAGGGATGGGCCAGTTTCCTGTTGCCAGAGCCAGTGCAGGGAGGAATCATGAGGGCACACAGGCCGTATGGAGGGTCACCCTAGCCGCCCAGCTTCCCCCCTTTCTAAGGCCTGTTCACTGCTGGCATGTAGGTGCCCACAACTCTCCACACTACAGGTTGTCATGGTTGGTCCTGCCTTCCTTGGCCAAGGAGATGCTAGGTGCCAGGCAGGTGCCCTCTCCACAGATCAGCATCTCAGCAGAGAGAAGCAGGAGGGCAAAGGGCTCCTCAGGTGAGGGGTCAGATCAGTTCCCAGTGCTGAGGCCTAGGCTGCACCAGGCCCCCTTTCTGAGGCTGCCTGCAGCTCTTCCCTGGTTTCCTGTGAACCATCTGTGTATCTCCAATATTTTTCTTGACTTTTTAAGTTATCGAGGGTCAGTTTTTCTTGCTAGATTCACCCAAGTATATTTCCAAAGACCCGGCATGGCTTTTGGCCAAGTCAGTCTGAATTTAAGTGCCCAGGAAGGGCAGAATACTCAGGGGCAGTGAAGAGGGGGGAAGGACTGTATAAACATCAAGATTAGCCCACACTTCCACCAGCAGCCCCCCGTTCATGGACCCACGATTCCAGAACTGGGAAGGCCCTTCAGGCAGTAGAGCAGTGTGGTGAAAGGCCGGGGCTCTGGAATCAGGCTTCCTGCAAAGCCCTGCTTTACTGCTTACCAGTAGTGCCATCTCAGTCAGGTCACCTAACCTCTCCTGCTTCAGTTCTCCCATGGGGATCCCAGTGGTACTCAACAGGTGCCTCACTTAACCCTCACAACCCCATGGGGTGGTGGCGAGGACTAAGTGAGAGAGCCTTGCACAGTGTGGTGCTCAGTGGGCATTTGACACGCTCACCAGAGAAGCACCACCACCAGGGCCTCCACTCCTCTGGGATGCAAGGACAAGGAGGCGGCCAGGATTACACCAATCATCTCTCCCGCCAAAAGTGGCACCGCCTTCGGGAGTGGAGAGGGCTGATGTTAGGGCACTGTACTCCATAGTGGGCAAAGGCAGTTTTGGTGGAGATGGTGGCTGTCTTCAAGAAGTGAGATGAGGAACAGAGGGACCCCACAGGCAAGGTGGTGTGAGGAGCAGGAGGAATGGGGTACCCTGCCCTCCCTTCCAAGCTTGTGCAGCAGCTGGGTAGGAAAGGTTGACCAGGATGGGCCAGGCAGCCCATTGTACTGGGTGGGGGCACCTCCTAAGATAGCAGGGCTGCCTCCAGGCATCCCACCGCAGCAGGAGCAAGGGGCTTGGCTGCACAAGCACCAGAAGACTCACATGTCCATGCCAAGTCACATGTCCATGTCTCTCAGGCTCGCTCTTTTGGTTTCTGGAATCTGTCATGCTCTCCCCTCCCACCAGGCTGCATGGCATCTCTGCATTGTCCACCCAGAAAACTCCCAGTTAACCCTCATTGCCCCCAGACCCTTCCTCTCTGAGCCCTCTCCTGTCACCCTCTTAGCACAGTCCCCATACCTCCATGGCCCCTTTCTGCCCCTGGCCATCATCTGCACTGCACCATTGGTTGGTAGCATGCACGTGCACAGTCTTTCCTACAAAACCGTGTCTAAGGAAGGCCTGAAGCAAGGGATCTGCCCAGAGTACACTCTGTCTTTTGCTCCTTTGAACCACAGGATTTGGGCAGCCTCCTGGGACTTTGAGGAACAGACTGGAGGGAGCATTTTAGAAGCTAAGAGGTCCAGGTCCCTGCATTCTTACCTCCTCCAGGCTCCTTCGGATGTCACCCAGCATGGAAAGGACATCTTGAGTGGGCACCACCCCTGGGGGTAAGAAACACCACTATCAGTGCAGCCATGGCTGTGGTGCCCCTCCATAGACTCTGGTCCCATTCTCCAACAGCTGGCCTGAGCCTCTGCCTCCCTTCCTGGCTCTAATTGCACACCGATCCTCAAGGCACATGCCTCCCCCTCTCCTAGACATCCTTCCCACTGCATCAATTTGTTAGAACATTGATTTGTATAACACCAGACCGCCACTTGTGAAGCCGCACACTGCCTTCCGAACACACGCCTTCTCCCCTGTCACACCAGGTACAGTGCCCATTCATTTCCCACCACACCTGTTCCCCTGCCTCCTGTTCCCCATCCTTGATCCTCACACTCTCCTCCTCATCCCCAGAACCCAAGCTAGTGAGTACACCTTGACCCCTAAGCTAGGTAGCTCAAACTACTGTCCTAGAGTTCCAAGTTCCGAAGTCCTTTTGTGTGCACTCTCCTCCTGTGGCTCTTGGGCTGGCTGCCTCCCACTGCCCTCCTGGGCCCTCCCATCACCTGCCCTTGCTCACCCTGCTCGCCCACCAGCGTCATGAGAAGGTGCTGCTCCTTCTCGCTGGGCTTGCTCAGAGAGATGTGCCAGGCCCCGTGGTGGCCGCTGCCATGGCGGGGCAGCACCTCTTCCACCAGAGCCAGGAGCTGCGGCCCACGGTGCTGTCGGAACACCTCCTACAAGGGCAGAAAGAGCCCCCCGTGCTCAGTGAAGAAGAGGGGCTCTACTGAGCCCTCTGCCTCCAGGCCCAGACCCTCATTCACACTCAACCCTCTGGCTGTTCCCAGAGAAGCAGCTCTGGTCAACAGGACACCCTCTGAGAGTATAAGCCAGGGAATGTGGGAACCTCAAGATGCACACCCATTTATTCACTTACACCAAGTGCTCCTTCCTGCCCTGGCCTCTAGTCATGAGAAAGTCTTGGGGCCTTGTCCCAGAGACACTCCCAGTTGAGCAGGAGGTGGGGGAGGGGGGATGATACATACCCCATGTACATGACAAGCCCAAGAACTATATACACAGAATGGGAAGGCCTATAGGAGAACTGCTCTCTGTGCCCAGTGCTCAGCTGCATGGTGCTGGAGATGAACACACAGTGGGTGGGACTTGCGACGGACAAAAGAGGTGTGAACCATGTAACTACCAAAAATCAGGGAGGGGCAGAACCCAGCTCTCCTCTTGCCTGTCATTGCAAAGATGCAGCCCCAAGCTGGTGAGTGGGGAAGCCATCTGTGTGCTCTTTTGTAGGTGGTGGAGGTCAGAAACAACAACATAGAGACAGAACCGGGCCCCTGGAGCTGGCCTCGGGGAGGAGCTTGAGGAGACCTTTTCTCATTGTGCACTCTCTTGTACCATTGAGGTTTTCTTGACCATGTAATATATGTAATTCCACAATTTAAAACAAAAACAAGAGCCTGGCCCTAAACAGGAACTCAGCAAGTGGCAGGAGCCCAGGCTGGGCACAGGCCAGGACACTGCCTCCTGGTTCACAGCCTGCCCTTTGTCCCTACCCAGCCCCATCTGGAAAGATACCCTCTTTCAGCCCTGTGGCCACTCCTCACTCCGGCTCCTTGTCAGCAGCCTTCTCCCTCCTGAACATGCACAGTTGCACGTTCCTAGTTCCTAGCCTCCACAGCCTGCTGCAGATACCCCTCTCCCAAGTGCTCAGTTCTAACGATGCCCTGCTATGCAGCTGAGAGCCAGCGCTACTGGGAGGCACAGGCATCCCACCAGGCCAGCCCGGCAGGATGCCCCGCCATCCCAAATCTCCCTTCTGCTGGAGCCCAGGCTAATGAGCTGTCCCTAGTTGTCATTCCAACCTAAAGGCTACCGGGGGATTGAAGTGCTGGGCCTCTATTCCTTGTTACCATGGCAAGTGCCAGGCTTAAGCCTTGGCACTCACTGGTCTAACAGCCAGCCAACCCAGTTCTAAATGTGGGAGAAGATGGATGCCTGGAGATGGCCACAGAGCAGCTAGAAAAGCCCTAGTTCTGTGGTGGGTTTTGCTTTCTTCACTGATTGAATATGGGTGGAGGTTGGGGTGCATGGCCGCCCCTGCTGGAGCAAGTATGACATACAGACCCTGGTTATAAAACAAGCACTCTCCTGTTACACAGAGTGTCTGCCCTCTGTGCACAGCTCTGTGCTCTGCTGTGTCCGCATACCCCACATTTTCCTGGGTACATATGTCTGACTGGCTTAAGCCCAGAGACCCACAATGTCAATGTGGGAGAATCTGATGACTGCAGATTTCATGCCACTTATTATGTAGACAGAAAAACTGAATGTCTGTGGCAAGGAGGTGAAGCCTTGACTTTGAAATCAAATAAATCTGGGTTCTGGCCAGGTGTGGTGGCTTATGCATGTAATCCCAACACTTTGGGAAGCCAAGGGAGGTGGATCACTTGAGCCCAGGAGTTCCAAGTGCAACATGGCAAACCCTGTCTCTACAAAAAATGCAAAGAAATTAGCCAAGTGTGGTGGCACACATCTGTGGTCTCAGCTACTTGGGAGGCTGAGGTGGAAGGATCGCTTGAGCCTGGGAGGTCAAGGCTGCAGTAAGCTGAGACTGTGCCACTGTACTCCAGCCTGGGCAACAAAAATAAATAAATAAATTTGTTCAAATCCTGCTTCTGCCGTTTATCAGCCCTCTTTGATGTGAACAAAATACTCTACCTCTGTGAGCCTCAGTTTCCCTATCTAAAAACATGGGCAATGGTCCTAACACCCTGCCTTCCTGTGAGGTTTAAGAGTAAAGTACATATTCAATCACAGGTGCTGGGACAACCAGGTATCCCACAGAAACTAATTTCAGATGGACTAGATATCTAAAGTTTTCGGTAGTAAACACAGAAGGATATCATCCAGTGGTGATGGATTAGAATTATAAATATTGAATTCATACTTTTAATATGTGTACATGTATTATACATAGATGTATGTATATCTATGTCCTAGAAAGAGAGAGAGAAATAAAGATCCACCCCTCTCAGTTCTTCTGGAAGGGTCTAGAAGCAATGATACCCCAGTGGCCATGAGCATACCTGGGAACCAGATCTTGGTTTCTACATACTTTTCCTCATTAAAAGGAAGCAGGATTCCTTGCAGAAATGGCTAAATCTGGGGCTGGGGTAAGGAAAGTCCAATGCAGCCTGAAACATCTTACAAGCATGTGTATGGCATACACTAAGAAGCTCTGCAGCTTCAGGCAAAGGACTGGCACCTCATTACTCTGTGTCAGCACTGCTTCTTTTTCCAGATCTTGATGATCTAGCCCTTTGCATGGAAGCTCTCTTTCAGGATTTTCACTAAAGGATGGTCCACATATTTCTCCTCCTTGTCCTTGTCCTCTAGCACTTCTCTCTGTTGTGCTGATCAAAGGATCAGATCCTTGCATCTCCATAGTAAGTATTTATTTTCCCTTCTAGAACTCAAAAACACCACCTCTGGATTTACTACTTTATCTTTCTGCTTCCTCTTATAGGTTTCCTTCTTAGGCTTCTTTCCAGTTTCTTCTGTGTTACCTGTGACATGTAGGTAAAATAGAAGCCAGTGAGTCTGCATCACTTTCTTTAGATCTTGACGGCCTAACTCCTGGAACTGTAGTTCTAAAAACTTTCGCCAAGAGACTGCCAGCACTCTTCTCCCTTTCTTTTTCTGAATATGTAGTCTCTGTATAGCCCATCATTTTTTATGCACATTATTCCCATCATTTTTCAAATATGTCAAGGTCATTAAACACAAAGAAAGGCTGAGGAACTATTCCAGATTAAAAAAGACTATAGACAAGACAACTAATGTGATGCATGACCATGGATTATATCCTGGATTGGGAGAGAAGAAAGCTATAAGGGACATTATTGGAAACATGGTGAAATCGAAATAATGTAGGTGACCACATAATAGTTTTGTAGCAGTGCCAATTTCTGATATTGACCATTGCATTGTGGTTGTCTAAAAGAATATTCTTGTTCTGAGGAAATAGAAACTAATGTATTTGGGGGTAGGGGCAAGAAGAAATAATGTCTTCAACTTTTTGTTAAATGGTTTGAAAAAATTTAACAGGTGGTGAATCTGGCAAAGAAACTAATAAATATATTGATAAAATTTAGTAAGCATCGACTATTAATAATAATGATGAATGCTCAAAATCACCAATCATCAGAGAAAATGCAAATCAAAACCACAATGAGATACCATTTAGGTTGGTGCAAAAGTAATTGTGGTTTTTGTCATTATATTCAATGGCAAAAACCGCAATTACTTTTGCACCAACCAAATACCTCACTTCCCTTAGGATGGCCACCATTTTATAAAACAGAAAGGCGCATGCGTGTAGGAGGATGTGGAAACATTGGAACCCTAGTGCTATGCTGGTGAAAATGTAAAATGGTATGATCATAGCGAAAAACAGTATGGAGATTCCTCAAAAAAAAAAAAAAATAGAATTACCATATGATTCAGCAACCCCATGTCTGGGTATATACCCAAAAGAATTAAAAACAGGGTCTTGAAGTGATATTTGCACAGCACATTCCCAGCAGCACTATTCACAACAGCCAAAAGATGAAAGCAACTCAACTTCCCATAGACAGCTGGATGGATAAATAAAATGTGGTATATACATAAAACTTTTCAGCCTTAAAAAAGGAGAAATTTCTGCCACATGCTACAGCCAGACATAAAATGACAAATGCTGTCTGATTCCGCTTCTATAAGTTATCCAGAGTAGTCCCATTCATAGAGACAGAAAGAAAAACGGTGGGTGCCAGGGCTGGGGAACAGACAGTCATTATTTAATGGGGATGGAGTTTCAGCTTTGAAAATGAAAAAGTTCTGGAGCTCTGTTCCACAGCAGTGCACATCTACTTAGCATGACTCAACATATACTTACAAAGGGTGAAATGGGAAATTTTGTTAGGTTTTTTACTACAATAAAAAAATCCATCATGAAAAATAATAATGACTGATTGAGTGGAGGTTACATATTAAATGAGAATAACACAGAAGACAAAAACAGGGAAAACAGAATAAAAGTATCTTTATATCTATGCATTGATTAGAAAAAAGATATGAATTTTAGGCTGTACTGATCAGGTATTCACACCAAAAATTCAAGGGTCCCAAGAGCCTATACTGTGGTCTTTATGTACCATTTCCCAGTGAAGGGAAAGATGGCTCCATGTCTGGGGAAGGAAGGTGAGCCTGGAATGTCCTATTATGCCTGAAAGCAAGGAGGAAATCAGACACTTAATAGATTGGTCTAAAGGACTCAGAGGCCAACTCAAAAAGACTTTCCCTGGCCAAAGATGAGGTATTGAGCATCAATAAAAGTAATAACTGCAATGAATGAAAACACACATTACTTAAGTGAAGATCCAACAGTGAAGTTACGCTGGGGGAAACCAACCTCCCTGGGTACTTTTGGATTAAAAGCATGCGTGTCCCTTCAGCCTCCCCCAGGCCCACTAACAAGAGTAAAGAATTTAAGGCCTAAAACCTCAGATACAAAGCAAAACAGAAGAGGAGACAAGAGCAACAAAATCTAGACACTGGAAGCAGATGGGTGAGTTAGAATTTCCTAATTTAGCAAACTCTAAAGAGCCAAACCCTAAGCCAAAATAAGGAAAGCTGAGAAGCAGTCAGATGCGTACTCATTGACACTCCCCAGATGCCTCAGAATAGAGGCACTGGTTACCTTTGGAAGAGGGGATGAAAAATGCTACTAAAAATAGGAGCTCGTGGAAAGTTTGCTTAAGAGGTGGCTGGGTCCCTAGTTCTTCCTGCAGTGCTACACAGCCAAGAAATGTCCCTTCTCCCTGGCAGAAGACTGCAAGTTTATCCTTTACAAAGGGTGAAACAGAAGGTCCCTGACCAAGGGAGCATCAGACACAAGTGTGTGTTTGGGGAGGGAGAAGATCACTCTGCAAACAGGGAGAGAGAGTATGTGAATATTGATATTTATGTATACATATTTATATATGTATAAATATATACATATATACATATATACATTTATACATATTTATATATGTATAAATATATACATATATACATATTTATATATGTATAAATATATACATATATACATATATACATTTATACATATATACATATATACTCTCTCTCCACCCCAGCTCCCAGAACATTGACAACCAGCTCATTATACTTCCAGCAGAACAGAAGTTTCCTTTTCAAAGACTCCAATCAGCCCAGGAGGAAGCAGCTAACGATGCTGCCATTAGAAATTTCTAAGTGATACAGCCCAGCCAGACCACTATCACGAGAAGCCATCGCTGACAAACCCTAGCACCATGCTCAAAGCTTCCAGCCAGTTTTTTGATAGAGCTGTGAACAAACTCCACCAGACATGCGTGGAGAGCATGTACATATACAAAAAGGCTGAGACCCAAAATGGAGAAAAGCAACCTATAAAGGGAGAAAAGAACTCCAAAAAAGAGAAAGGTTTCAGTATCACCAGAGAGATAAGATAGTGCACATATGAACAAAGTATTCCTCTAAGCTAAAAAGAGAGGGAGGCAAGAACCATAGAGCCCTTGGAAATTTTAAAATATGAAAGCACTCTGTGTGTAATGTTGGTGGCTGCGCGTACATCCCTGGGTTAGGCTGCCCCCGCCGACTGAAGAACTAAGCTTTCCCTGTGCACTGCTTGTACCCCCAACCTGCCGTCCGCCTCACTCTGTCTACTGCCTGCAGCCTTTCCCTGTGGTTCAGAGCCTGGCTGGGCACTCACACAGTCTATGTTCTCTGTCATGTTCAGAATGATGTAGTTTTTTCCAGCCAGATTGCTCCAGTCCTTGCAGATCACCTGTGCAAGGAGACAAAGCAGGGTGACAGTTACAAAGGCATAGGAAAGGCACTGGGGAGACAGCCCTGGTAGGAGGCCCTTTGGGAAGCTGGAAGGTAGAGGCCAGTGGAAGTGTATTACAGTGAGAGGGCTGCTGACGGCCTCTGTGAGGCATCACCCAAGGAGTACAAGCTCGAATGTCTTTGGGGACCAAGCAGGGAATGTGTTGAGAGGAGGAGGCCAGGCATGATTCCAGGAAGTGGGGGGCTATATCAAAGAAGCCAGATGGCAGAGAGCTTGCCCCACTCACTGGCTTTCAAGGGCAAACTTGTAGTTAATATTCTGGGGCTCCTTTCCTTTCTTTGTGGTATTGGTGGGTGTGAACACTGACTTGTGTCTGCTGTGCACATGGGTGTCAGTGGGGAGGAGGAGGGTGGTAAGATGGGATGGGAAAAGCACAGGTCAGCCACTAGCTCCAGCTGCTGGTAGAATCAGTACAGAAGTCTAAGGGCGGGCCAGGCACGGTGGCGCATGCCTGTAATCTCGGCACTTTGGGAGGCCAAGGTGGGTAGATCAGTTGAAGTTAGGAGTTCCTGACCAGTCTGGCCAACAGGGTGAAACCCCATCTCTACTGAAAACAGAAAAATTAGCCAGGCATGGTGGCACACACCTGTAATCCCAGCTACTCAGGACGTACAAGAATCACTTGAAACTGGGAGGCAGAGGTTGTGAGCCGAGATTATGCCCACTGCACTCCAGCCTGGGTGACAGAGTGAGACTCCATCTTGGAAAAAAAATACAAAAGAAGTCTAAGGGTGGCAGTGTTAACACCTGAACAAATGAAACCCAGGCCAGGCCCCCACACTTCTCCAAAGGCCTTTGCACAGAAATGTAGGGAGAAAACCCACTGTTGGCCCTGAGGTGTGCCTCCCCACAAGTTTCACGGGGTTCTCTATGCTGTGGAAAGGGCCCCCCTCCTCAGCGTGGCAGATCCTGTCCCTACACCACACCAGCCCAGAGGAGGGCCAGGCTCTGTGAAGAATGTGCAGGGTGGTAACCCACATGCCCCTCACTTTACCTGTGTAGAATCCCAGGGTATTGTGGATTGAGCTTCAGCTGCCTGCCCATCTAGGAGCTGTTGGTTGAGATCCTCTTGCCCCAAGGTAGCAGAGGAAGGTGTCAGTTCCATGTCTCCAGGGTCCAGTGGGAAAGAGGCTGAGGTTTTAGAGCCAGGGGGACCTTCATCTGGGTCCTCGGCCCCACTGGGAGATGCAGTTTGAGGGAATGAAGGCGAGGCCAGCACCTCTTCATGCTGGCCAGACAAACCAGCTGCTCCTGCAGTGGTCTCCTCACTTGCTTCCTGGGGAGCCTGGAACTCTACCTCAAGCCCTGCAGCCGGCAGCACTGTGGCCCCTGGCTCCTGGCTAGTAGAGTCCTGGTCCCTCAGAGTCACTGTAGTTGGGGTGACTGAGGGCAGCAGCAAGCTGTGCCCCATGCTGCTCTCCACCTCCACGCCTGATGAGGCCTGGTCCCCGGTGTCTTCATGCCTGCTTTTGGTGGCCCCTAGGGTCTGGCTGCTGCTGGTGAGAGAAAAGTCATGGACCTGAGGCTTGGCTGCTTCTTGGGATCCGTTCACAGGGAGCAGCTCCTCTTCTTCCTCCTCCTCTTGTTTCTCTACCTCTTCCTTCTCCCTGTCCTCCTCTTCCTCTTCCTCATCTTCTTCCTCCTCTGCAGGAGGCATATGCCAGGGAGGCTCAACCAGATTCATCTTGGGCAAGGGAGAGGGTAGGTTTGGCAGCTCTTGAGCCTGGCTGGTATCTTCAATGGAACCTGCCTTCTCAGTTAAGTCAGGAAAAACATAATCTAAGGACAGAGATGAAAAGTTCATTCACTGGTTTCATCATTCATTGCTTTACTCAGTATTTACTGGGCAGATGGCATACACGGATGGGGCAGGAGTCATCAAGTCATGATGGAGAGGAGTGAGAGGTGAGGCTAGGGGAGCAGACTGTGGAGGGACACAGGGACAAGGCTAGTCACTGTTTCCTTTACGATGATAAAATAATACAAATGTATCACCAAAACTCAGTGAACACAGGAACGTAGAAAGTTTTGTATATGACATCCCTCCAAAAGAGCCATGGGTAGTTTGAGGTATATATTCTCCACTGTGTTTGTAATGTGCTTGCTTGTCCTCATCTGCGGATTTCACCAAGACCCCACAACAATCCACTAGGAAAGGTTCCCCTGTAGCTTTTCTACGGAGTCGTTATAAGAGTCTTGTTGGTGGAGTCCCCGAAGGAGGTCTGAGACCCCTCTCATCACTGGAACAAGTGATTATGACCATTGTTCCTAAACTGTGCTTTTTCTGTAATTTAGATCCTGACAGGAAATTAAAAAGACATAGGAGGAGCCAGAGAGAGGTCAGGGTCTGAGCCCAGAGGTTTCCAGGGCCTCCCAGAACATTCAGGGTCATCGTTGGCAGTGGGAGAGGGAATTTTATTCTCCCTCCCATTCTTGGGAATTACATTTTGAAGCATAGAAATGAGGAGACTTCCTGGAGATTACTGTTTTCTGGCTTTTCAATGAACCCTAGGCCTCTTCAGAATAGCTATGTATGAAAATTATAGAATTTTTTTTGGAAATGCACTAAAAATATCAGAAGCTATATCTAGGAAGCAACTTTTATTGGCTCCCATTTTGTTTCAAAATAATAAATATTGTAGTTTAAGAATACTCTTTAGAAAGGAGAGTGGTGGGAATACTTTAAGATAGTGAACTAAGGGTATTCATTTACCACCTCCTCCTCTAAAATTTTTATCAAATGACAAAAAAAAATTAACTGTCAAAATGAAGGTAAAAACATTTTAGGTAAATTTCTGGAAACATGGAAAGCAGTTGAGATTATAGGAAGAGATAACCTCCCAGCCAAAATAAACATAGGAAAAAGTAGCAGGCAAGGAGGCAGGCTTTTTTACACAGAGTTAGGAAGAGGCACAACTGTGGGATTAGCAAGGATTAGAACATAGAAAAATCCAGAGAACAGAAGGTAATTTTAAAAAATCTAATTAGTATCCTCTGAAAGATTAAAAAATATTACATCTCTAAAATAAGAGGCCACCAAAAACAGTAATCTTTAAAAAAGAAAAATTTATTGGACACAGACATTCAATTGGTGAAATTTAAAAATTCAATAGATTGAAAACTCACATTTTTAATGGCTGGGGAAAAAAGTCAAGGAAAAGCCTCTAAGGCAAAAGTGAAAAGACAACAGAGAAAAGTTAAAAGATACAGATAACCAATGTAGGAGATCTAATACCTAGCTGATATGATTTCCAGAAAGATAGAACCAACAAAATAGAGAATAATGGAGAGAAACAAAGAAAAAACATTTCCAGACCTGGCAACATGAATCTTCACCTCGAAAGGTTATATCATCAGGGTGAATGATAAAAAAGACTCACACCTAGCCTCATTCTCATGTCATTTTAGAATTCTAAGGAGCAAGAGAAAATCTTAACAGCTCTCAAAGAACAGGTTATTCATAAAGGAACAAAAAGCAGATTATCAAATTATCATCAAGCTTCTAATTAATATCACTAACCTAGAAGAAAAATTGAAAAATACATTAAAAAATCTCAGGGATATTTATTTTGAACCTGAAATTTTATACCCAACTAAACTACTACTCAAATGTGAATGCAAAATAAATACATTCTCATAGACACAAAGACTTAAAAGTGTTACTATCCACAGATTCCGAGATATTTAAGTAAGTTCTCTAAGAAACCCAAAAAAGAAGACATGGGGAATCAAGAAACATGATAGGAATGTAATGAAAATATATCTTAGGATGGAAGTTGTGCAGTAAGCCTGAAAGCAACTGGTTCAAATTAGAACAGGGAGAGAGCTCTGAGAAGGATTATTTCAAAAAGAAAAATTGATTCCCTATAATAAAAAGTATGATTTAGAAGCTGAACACTCCTAGTGACAACTGAAAGCCCACTATAATATTTACATCAATAATTAGAATATTCTATCCAGTCCACTTATGTTAGTTAGACTTTTTGAGTAGCAGATCCTCCCCTTCTTCTACCCATTGCACACACTGTAGTGAAGTCACCCACTCCACACACAAAAGAAGCCAGTCATAAGCCAGGTATGGTGGCTCATGCCTGAAATCCCAGTATTTTGGGAGGCTGATGCAGGCAGATCACTTGAGGCCAAGAGTTCAAGATCAGCCTGACCAACATGGTGAAACTCCGTCTCTACTAAAAACACAAAAATTAGCCAGGCATGGTGGTGCACACCTGTAATCCCAGCTACTTAGGAGGCTGAGGCAGGAGAATTGCTTGAACCTGGGAGGCAAAGGTTGCAGTGAGCCAAGATTACAACACTGTACTTTAGTCTAGTCAACAGAATAAGATTCCATCTAAAAAAAAAAAAAAGCCAGTCATGATACTCAGGGATTCAGGGAAAAGGCCAGCTGATAGAATAGTGATCATATAACTACTGAGGAAGCCCACACCATCCTCTCATCCTCTAATACTAACCAATCTACTGTTACCTTTTTTTTTCCTTTGGAGACAGTGTTTCACTATGTTGCCCCAGGCTGGTCTCAAACTCCTGGGCTCAAGGGATCTTCCCATCTCTGGGACTACAGGCATATACTACCACACCTGATTGGCTAGATATAGTATTACCTTCATAAATGTGAAAGACATGCTGGTGGCTCATGCCTGTGATCTCAGTACTTTGGGAGGCTGAGGCAGGAGGATCACTTCTGAGCCCAGAAGTTCAAGACCCGCCTGGGCAACATGGCAAAACACTGTCTCTACAAAAAATGCAAAAGCTAACTAGGCGTGGTGGTGTATGCCTGTGGTTCCAGCTACTCGAAAGGTGGGAGGATCACTTGGACCTGGGAGATCAAGGCTGCAGTGAGCCATGATTACACTACTGTACTTCAACCTGGGTGAAACATGAATAAATAAGAAAGAAAAAACAACCAAGATTCACATTTTAAGAAAGCCAGCCTGATAAAGAAGCATAAGGGTGAGACGGTAAAGCAACCAACCGCTAAGAAGAGTTAGTCTAGTCAAAAAAAGAATTCAGGTAAGTTTCTTATTAATATCTTCAGAAAGATTCAGGAGGAAATCACATCTATAAAACAAGTATACAGAAGAATAAAAGTATTTTATTTCAACGTAAGAACTTTGTAATAGCCAGATCTATTCAAAATTAAAATAAATGCATAAAAACATAACTGAAATGGGCTGATTACTTGATAGGAATACTATGTAACAGGAGTCAGATGGTTGCTTAGGAAATACAACCTATGAAATCCCTTGCAAGCGTAATATTTCATTATTGGAAGATTAATCTGACAGCAATTTACAAGATTAGGTGAAGGAGTGCATGAAGGAAAGTGAAGAGAAGAGTCAGGAAGTTGCTGCAGTGGATGTGTGGCGGCAATGACATTGGAAATGATGAGAAAAGAGCATATTCAAGAGATGACTCTGAAAGAGAAGTAACAGATGTGCGAGCTGGTTGGCCAACAGGAAGAAGCTGCAGGAGTAGCCAAGCCATTAATAGAGATAGTGAAGTTTGGAGGAAAGGCGTATTGGAAACCTTCAGGGCACGCTTGAAATAGCTGATGGATTCAATGAAGCCTAGGATATGGCAGGAATTTGATGGACGGTGACACACCAATCAGCAGAATCCCATTGGGTGGGGAGGTCCCAGGGGGGCAAGCTGACCAAAACAATCCCTCTACTCAATTTGGTGCTGAGTTTCCAAAAGTCAGAAAGAGCACTGGCATCTCCAGGGGGCACCAACAGAACTCCCTAAACTGTGTACAGCCTCCTCTGAGATGCAACATCAGTCACGCTGTGGGTCAGAAGACTCAGCCACTAACTTACCTGTGCACGCAGTGGTAAGTCCCTGAACTTCTCTGGGCTTCAGGTTTTGTTTTGTTTTTGAGACAGGGTCTCACTAGGTCACCCAGGCTGAAGTACACTGGGACAATCATGGCTCACTGCAGCCTCAAACGCTGAGGCTCAAGTGATCCTCTCACCTCAGCCTCCCAAGCAGCTGGGATGACAGACATGTGCCACCATACCCAGCTATTTTTTTTTATGATTTCTAGAGACAGGGTCTCTCTACATTGCCCAGGCTAGTCTCAAACTCCTGAGCTCAAGCAGTTCTCCTGCCTCAGCCTCCTGAGTAGCTGGGACTTACTGGCACACACCACCACACCTTGCCCTGTTGCCCAGGCTGGAGTGCAATGGTGCGATCTTGGCTCACTGCAATCTCTGTCTCCTGGGTTCAAGCAATTCTTCTGCCTCAGCCTCCCGAGTAGGTGGGACTACAGACAGGCATGTGCCACCACACTGAGCTAATTTTTGTATTTTTAGCAGAGACGGGGTTTCACCATGTTGGCCAGGCTGGTCTCGAACTCCTGACCTCATGATCTGCCCACAGCCTCCCAGAGTGCTGGGATTACAGGCGTGAGCCACTGCACCTGATACCTAATTTTTAAAAATTATTATTTGTAGAGATGGTGTCTCCCTATGTTGCCCAGGCTGGTCCTGAACTCCTGGACTCAAGTGATCCTCCTGCCTTGGCCTGCCAAAATTCCAGTATTATAGGCATGAGCTGCTGTACCTGGCCTGGGCTTCAGTTTTTATGTCGAATGAGGATGATGGCATATATGATTTCTAAGGTTCTTTATATATCACTGATATTTTAAGCTTTGGATACAGTTCTGATAAATGTGTCTTATACACCAATGGCATTACAAACAACTCTACTGTCTTAAATAAGAATAATATAGGATTCACTAGATTATAAATTCTTGATGCCAA